GCATTCCTGAGATACTGCATCCACAAGAATGGGATGGAATTGGGTCATATTGACCTTTTGACCTCCAAAATCTAATCAGATCATCCTTGAGTACAAGTGAATACCTGTGCTGCAACTCTCAACAGCATAAACAGTGTACTGTATAATGATATATGATGACAGTGGCAAAAATGTTCCACTCCATAGTCCCATACCCAAGTACCTAGAACTGTTTAATGAATGAATGAATGGCATGTATTTTGGTTTGTATAACTATACAAACATGACAAGAAACAAAGAAAACAAAGTTATGCCTTAGAAACAAAACAAAAGGCTGTAGGCTGAAGCTACAGCTTATTAACACCTAGTTTTCTAAATGATTCAAAACATGCTTGGCATCAGTCATTACATCAAAATACAATTTCTTTATCTTTTTGCCCAATTTATATTCCAAACATCATTCATGGTCACTTTAAATGTATTTTAGATTTGTTCATGATATTGAAATAATTTAAGCTTGATAAGTGTGGTGCATGTTTTTAAATTCTCAGTACAACTTTTCCATAACCCCTCTGACTGAAATACACTATTTGTACATTAATTGTCAATTTTTTTTTTACCTTATACATAATTTGTAGTGTTTTAAAACCTGCTATATCAATACATTTTGAAGTGTTTAGTTGAATAAATTATATATTGATTGGTGCATAATAACTTGTTTAGAATTTCTATGGCTTTCTTTTGTATGTATTTTCCCATACCTCTACACAGCGATTCACGTGTGGAACTACAAGTGAACAGTATAATATATGCAATGCATCTTGATTTAAGAAACTTTGAGCTTTATTCATTACTGCAGTAGATTTATATATTTTTATTTTAATATAAATTATTTTTGGTTTCTAATATTTTTATTTTAATATAAATTATTTGTGGTTTCTAGCTTAGTTTGTCTATTACCACTCTCAAAAATTTTATTTCAGACACCTTATCAATTTCAGCATCATTTATACTAAGTTTACTATGGAAATGTGATGCATGGTTTCTAAATATTATGAACTTAGTTTTACTAGGGTTCTGTGATTATATATTAGCATCAAACAGTTTTGTTTTATAATTTTTTATTATTTCTCCACTGTATCCAAAAGTTGTCTCAAATGTTCCCCAGTACAGACTATAGTTGTATCATCAGCAAATATACATTTTAATTTCTGAGATGCTATACATATATCATTTTATATAAAATGAACAGCAATGGCCCAAGCAACTGAACCTTGAGGAACTCCACAAGTTAACCTCAAAGTTTTAAATATGAATTATTTCTATTTACATACTGATACCTGTTTTCTAAATAACTACATAATCAGTCATGTGTTACCTCTAATACCATACCCCTCCAATGTTGTTAATAATTTATGATCAGTGGTATCAAACACTTTCTGTAAATCAAGGAAAACTCCCATGTATTCATGTCTTTCTAAAGTGTTTTATACAGGGTTATTCAAAAAGAATGAACCGATTTCATTATGCAATATTTTATTAAGGAAAAGTAATACAAAACTCCAGCCAAGTCACAAGTATTCTACTCACAATCAACTTAGATAACTCCTCTTTCAAATGGCCACTGACTCATTCCATGATGATGCTTGAGAACTGAAGCAATACGTAATGAAATCGGCTCATTCTTTTTGAATAACCCTGTATTTCTACAAAAGTTATTAATGATAATGAAGTGGTTCTGTTTTTTTCTAAAACTGTATTGTTGTTCACAGAATATCTTATGTTGTTTTATAAAATCATTTAACCTTTGAACAACCTTGGATATGATTCTTGAGTATTTAGCTGGTGGTCACTAACTCACCAGGTTCTTCTCCGACACAGAGCAAAAGGCTCCCAGCAGGATACAGACCACAGCCACATGGTTGTAGCGTGCTGCCACATGCAGACAAGTATCTCCTCCCTGAAGAAAAAGAAAAAAAAAAGAGATTAGAAATTCGACAAGAATTTAATTTCTAATTATTTGAATTTGTAAATGGACTGTATTTACAGTATATAGTGCATATTTCACAGTGTGTCACACTGGCCAAAGCGCTTTACAGGAGATCATACACCATTCACACACACATTCACACACTGATGACGAGAGGCTGCCGCACACTGGCGCCAGTCGAACCACCGGGAGCAATTTGGGGTTCAGTGTCTTGCTCAGGGACACTTAGGCATGCGGGGAGACCGGGAGTCGAACCACCAACTTGCTGGTTAGACTACCCTACCTCGTAAGCCACAGCCACACCCAATTGTTAGCATGAAGGCTGCATGCAAATTAAACATGTAGTTTAATTTTAATAGGACTTCAGGCTCAATGTCTTACTGAACAGATCCATTCATGTGTGAGCAGGTGAAGTTTGCATCTTGAAAAATATCAATGTATTAAACAGCTCAAATGTTATGTGACAGCGCAATTACAATATCAAAATACACTCTTCCAGTGTTTCAAGTGATTTTACTCCATTACATTTATCTGGCAGTTGTTTCAAGCTACTTTGCCCAAAAAAAAAAAAAAAAATTAATTCATACAATATCCAGTATTACATTTTTAACAGTATGCATCAATATACAATATTATTACCATTATTATTAGTTTAAATGGCTTATTCAGAAAACATTTAGCTGCTTTTGTCTGTTACATGTTATTGTAAATTGTATTTTGTACCTATGGGTTTTTAGGACTGACAATTCAAATCATTTTAGGTTTTAGCAGTGGACACTGGAGTAAAGAAAAAAAATATAAAAATAACTGAGATTAGCAAGCACTAGAAATGCTTGTTAGTTTCATACTTAAATTTTGACTAATGCATCAATATTTTAACACTAAACATAAGCAAAGTTCATGTCTGTTATACTGTATATATTGTCTGCTGTTACCTAACTAAAGAATGTGGCTCTATTTTCTTTCAGTAAATGGTAGTTTGTCCAAGTAGAGGTCCTCCTGGCACATACATCATTTATAAACATTAAAGAGTCAATGCATAAGTGAAGCTTTCAACAGACAGCATTAAAGGTACATCTGAGGATGGCTTCTGCACAGACTCACAAGCAACAACAACAGTTTTCTGATAAGCCTGGAGATTATATTTGGAGTACAAATGTACCATGCAGTATTTCATATTAAAAGACCACTGTGGCAGCAGTGTACTACAAAGGCTCATCCCACCCCCTGAATTTCAAAGCTGCAGGGTAATAGAAAGCAGGTAAACAAGGGCATAGTTTACATGAAGGAACAGCAAAAGAGCAGCAGCAAAAAACAGAGGGACAAAAGTAATGAAAAATACAATGCTCAAAAAAATAAAGTGAACACAAAAACAAGACATCCTAGATCTGAATGAATGAAATATTCTTATTAAATACCTTGTTCACTACATAGTTGAATGTGCTGACAACAAAATCACACAGAAATGATTAATGGAAATCAAATTTAGCAACCCATGGAGGTCTGGATCTGGAGTGACACCCAGAATTAAAGTGGAAAACAACACTACAGGCTGATCCAACTTTGATGTAATGTCCTCAAAACAAGTCAAAATGAGGTTCAGTAGTGTGTGTGGCCTCCACGTGCCTGTATGACCTCCCTACAACGCCTGGGCATGCTCCTGATGAGGTGGCGGATGGTCTCCTGAGGGATCTCCTCCCACACCTGGACTAAAGCATCCCCCAACTCCTGGAC